AGCGGGGTGCCGGGGGTTACGCCTGTGTGGTCCCAGGGTGCACGTGAGAGTCGTCACCGCCCCTGCGTGAGTCTGGGTGCACGTAGGGTGTACCCCGGGGGATGCAGGGGTGGGTGCGCGCGGCACGGTGTGTGTGCAGGGCACAGGGCCGGGGGTGTGAGCGAGACCTGCGCCAGGGGTCCTTGCCGCCTGCCGGGTTATGGGGGCTGTACGGTAATCTGTGACACCCCCCTGTGATGGGGGTTTGCTGGCAGGGCTCTGTTTGCCCGTCTCAGGGCTGAGGTTGCCGTGTTACCCCCTGCGCCCGTGGGTCTATCAAAGAGAGGGAAACTGAGGCACAGAGCCTACCCCGGCACAGCGGGAGAGACTGGGTCTCCGCGCTCCCTTTTGGAGACCAGTACTCCCAGTTCGGGTGCTGAACTGGGCAGCCTCACACGGTGTTTGGGGGTGCAGGAGGTGGGCTGGGGTGCAGGAGGCAGCGCACCAGCCCCGGGGTGTGCCAGTCCCAGTGGGGGCCGGTACCGGCTGATGAGGGTGATGCACCGTGTCAGAGCAGGGATCCCCCCGCATCCCCGGTGTCCCCTGGGCCAGGGAGGGGGAAGCTGGAGCGTGGCAGAGGTTGGTGCCGAGGGCACCGTGCCCGGGTGTCCCCAGTCAATGGGCTTGTTGTGCCGGCCGCCTGCGCCGCCGGGTGCCAGCCGGAATCCCAGCAGGGTGGTGGAAGCCACAGGCTCCTCTGAGCCTGGGGATGCGCTTAACCCCCTCCCAGCTGCCCCCCAGCACAGCGATGGCCACGGTTTGGGGGGGGGCAGGCAGGCGGGGGCCTCAGCAAGAGGTTACCGTGGGTCTTTCCTCTCTCACGCCGTGGCTGCCGGCGCGGCCAGCTGTTCTCCCCGGGGAGCCCGTGGGTGGACAACAGCACTGGGGAAGGGGAGCGAGCCCCGGAGGGGTTGGTGGCACCCCACAGCAGAGCCCCACGGGGGCTGGCAGCTGGCTAGCGGGGACATTTGCCGAGCCAGAAGCTCCCCCCCCTCCAGCCCCAGCCACAGTGCCCATCACCCTGGCGTCATGCCTGCGGCCTCGGTCGGGGAGCGGAGAGCCGGATGTCTCCTCTCCCTCCCTCCCTGCTTCCTGGGGGAGAAACTGAGGCCCGAGAGCATTTCCCAAGGCCAGGGCGAGTTTCCATGGAAATGGGAGCGGGGGTCCGGGCTCCCAGCTGCCGGAGCCCGCTGAACAAGGGAGAAAGCGGCACATTGATGGGAGCCCGCCTGGGCGCG